TAAAAGTATTTCTTTTTGTTGTGTGTGTTATGTGCAAGACTTTGTTTACCCCATTCCACCATTCCAGCATCCACCTCCGCCCTCTTAGCAAATAGATAACTTGAATGCATGTTCACAGAGATTAGCCAGTTATATATACGCATATAAGCGAGGCAAACTAACTCAGCAACAACCCAGAAAAGCAAACGAATTGGCGGACAATGCATGCAAGAAGTCATTAGAAACCTAAACTCATCTAGTGCATATGTTTCCATACACAGTGAAGACAACTTATACGCATTCATACATATGATAAGTACTCCTAACTATACGAATACACACTGCACACAAATACACTTACACTTACACACACACGCACACACAGAGATGCGCTTTGTCGCATAGATCTTACTTATCTAAGTGTGTATGTGTGCGTGTATGTACCATGTAAAAATGAAGAAAATCAATACCTTCGGGAATTTAGTATTTCGTTAAGCTACAAAAACTTAAGCAAAACTTAGAGAAAAACAAAAAACTTTGTATTTTAATTGTAAGTGTTAAGGCATAAGACAGACAGACAGCAACTGACTCAAATTGATTCAAGCGACGCAACCACACGATTGTGTGCGTGTGAAAGTATATACTAACATATACATATACATATATATATATATATATATATATACTATATATATATATATATATATATATATATATATATATATATATATATATATATATATATATATATATATAGTATATGAATTATGAATTATACCAAGTAAGTAAATTTCTTAATGATATTGATTGGTTTTTATTGTGACAAGCGCAGTCGTAGCCGGCTGCTAAATATGATATTATCTAAGCTAGATTGACTAGACTAAAAGAAACGGTATTGTTATTGATATACATAAATATACACGTGCAAAGGCACACAGCAGACACAGTGACACACACAAACACAAAGACACACACACACCCAGGCGTGCGTGTGTTCCGTGAAAATATAAGTAAATAGGCTAAATATTTGAATAAATGAATTAGACACTTACAAATAAGAAAAAAAAAAACAAAAGAAAAAAACGGTACACAGGAGATAAAAAACCCGATGCAAATGAAAACTCAAAGATCGAGTGAACAACAAAAGAAAAATCCAATAAATTGTTATCTAGAAATCAAACTTAAACCTGAGCAGCAAAAATAAAAACTTGGATGAAATGCAAAAACCCAATATGAATTTATACGCCAATGAATGCTCAACACAGCCACAACCAACACAACCACACACACCCACACACACACAACACACAATAAGCCCATATGAAAAATATACTTATATACATACTTAGTCCAAAATGAGAAGCAACAAAATAAACAAACAAAAAAAAAACGAAAACAAATAAATATTAATAATAAAAATCTCACATATCGCATATATATATATACACACAATATATATGTATATATATATATGAACAATATGTGCTTAAACTGAAATTGCTGCTGTCGACGGTCCTCAGTTATAAATGCCCGAACTTCTGATCCGGACACCGAACGCTCAGAAAAGAAAATGAAAAGAAAAACTGAAAACGAATTTAAATCTGTTGCTAATACATATATGTATACATATACTATTAGATATTGATTGCTGATCCTTAAGTGTTTCAACTATCATTTCTCTCGGGTATAGCGCAAGATCAGAAATTTCTTTACACCACTTCCAAGGGAACCGATGGTCGAAAATATATAAAAAAAAAAGAAAAAACAAAGAGAAAAACATGAAAAACCAAACTGAAATTAGAATATTCCATTCATAAGATTTGACATACATTATAATAGAAACAATCGGAGCAAGCAAGCATTATTCTCTAGCAAGATCAAATACAATCTTCTTTTTTTTTTGTTATTAATTTTTAAAGCAGTACAAAATCAATACACTTAAATATACACACACACGTATATGTGTAAACATGCGTATGTATGTATATGTAAGTGTATTGTTCAAATGGAATTGAGCATTTCTGAACCATCAAATGTTGCGATTCGTATTTAAATATGTATTTATATATGTACACACTGGCAATTTGCGAACTAGTTCATATGACATATTGAAAAGAGTTGATGGAAAGCAATAAAGGCCCATCAGAAGTTTGGCACACACTCACACACACAGACAGACAGGCAGACACTGCAGTTACACACACACACACACACAGTAAAGACCTCACACCGTATGTTCGTCAAGAAATATTAGAAAAGCAACAAATATTGGAGAGAAGAATAAAAATGTTCATTATAATAAACTTTTTGAAACCATTTCTAAAGAACTGTTAACTGTTAATAAACTTACAATAATAAACGAATATTAAAAGCAAAATGATAATGAAAATTATAGTGAAAAGCATACCACAAGACAACAAATAAAATGCAAACAACAACAACAACAACAACTGAAATGTATGGCGCTTAACACAATTAAGTTAAATTAATGAATTATGTACATAGATACATAGATGCGTTCATATGTATGAGGCTGAGGAGAATTAAATAATAATAATCTAGTTGTAAGTTGCCAATTGGATGCAAAACTGGTCCATAATGTGGTCTAAACTAATTTAAGTAAACATAATAAAAGCAACTAACAACTAAGCGTAATACGACACAAAAGCAAAAACCAATACAAAACAAAAATACAAAACCAAAACCAAAACCAAAAGCAGCCACAACATTCAAAAACCAATTAAAATTTATTACAAAATAAAATATGAAAGCAAAAAAAAAAAAACAAAACATCAAAATTTAATATATGTATATGTTTTTATGTTTTCACTAGGAAAATATACAGCAACAATTTGAATATGCTGCTGTACACAGACTACACACACCCACACACACTCACATACATACGCATATAAAGTGTGTGTGTATTTATTAAGGAACACATATGTACAACTATAGTACATGCTAATTTAAGGCAGTTCGTTTAGTTAGATTTCACATTTAATTTTCGCTAATTCTCAATTCTCTTTTACAAGCTAACCCCAACTAAGATCTGTTCTTGTCTATGGTTTGTGCTCACTGCTATAGCAACTTGCTGCCATATCAATTTTATATACATATTAGTTTAATAACTTTTCATTCCTCACACACACACTCACACATACGTTTGATATTTTCACATGCAACTGCCAAAGAGATGGTTGGAGATGATCTCCAATTCAAGGGTTATTATTAACATGCATGTTCATATCTATGCCAAGTTGTGGCACTATATGCCACGCACACACACACGCACACACACACGCACACATACATGCACACACACACACACACGCACACATGTCAAGTATCATTTGCTTGTATATTATGTACATAGAAAACTTAACTCATTTTATACATGTATTTGGACATGTGTGTGCTTGTGTGTGTGTGCGTGTGTGTGTATGCATACACTTGATTTTATATACAGACAACTTCTTTTATATGTACAACTATAGATATTTTAATGCATTAACTATAATTTCACTGTCTGGTGCGATGAAAGAAACAAAAAAAAAGAAATACAAAAAACAAAACAAAAATGAAAAAAATTACAAAAATAAAATTTGAAAATTTTTCAATAAAATTTTGCTGGCAAAATTATAAATATATATATATATATATATATTCGTGTACATAAGTTGAGCTTTGTTTCATATTCGTATGCGCATCAGGGCAGAGCTCAGTTGAGCTGCTTGGATTGGCATCCCGCAACCATTTGCCGCGCCAGACAGTAAATTATTATCGACGGGCTAAACAACGAGGTTCGATTTGGCTTCAGTTCAGGGTTGAGCTCAGACACAGGGCTATAGCTAAATGCAATTGCATGACTTTCACAATTTGGCCCTGCTAATGCCATATTTTGTTTTACTTTCAGATACTATCGCTAAGATATTCCCATTTCGCAGTTGACGCTGGGCAAAAATCTATCTCTAAGCACGAGCTTCGGCAGCTGCACCTCAAAAACTAAAACAAAAGCAAAAGAAAACAGAAACAAAAACAAAAACAACAACAAAACAAACAAAAAATGCAATTCGTCTACAATTTGGTTGAGCATTTTGACTTTGATGTGATAAGAATGATAAGAATAGAACGCATTATTTGCTACAACTTTCCCAAATAGTTTTCAATTGTTCTCGACTTGGAATTGTTTTTCTTTTCGTTTTTTTTTTTTTCGATTTCTGGGTGAAACAGAGTATTACTTGGGATCGAGTTGGAATTGATCTATTTCAGCACTACAGAGTTGCCGAGTGAGATTTACGCAAAACTCACTTGAGAGCTGAACACGGAAAAGGCAACTAAGAGCGAGTGGGAGCGAGGGAGATGAGTCTGTCCAAATCTTCGTCTAAAATATTAAATATAAATATATATTTACCAACAAAATTGTATTCATATTGAAAACCTTCCTTGACACGCGTCTGCAGCAGCCCATTCCCTCCCACATCTGATAAGCCACTGATGTTGCAGTAGCTGATGAGCCCTTCAGTAGATCATAGGAAGATTTTTATTGAATAAATTGACAACTATTTATATGCGCAACATAAAAAAGACTTTTGACATTTGAATTTGCATAATAGAATCTGCCTACAGACTGCCACCTGAGTTGGCGCGACAAGTGTAGAACTTACTTGAGCGGAATCCCTGACGAAGCGCCCTTCAAATGGCTCAAGCATTGAGAATACTTCGACTCTCGATGGTTGCATTCTGACATCATTTGCTTAGTCTTAAGCGAAAGCTGAAAGGTTGGCCGTGCTGATCGCCATTTTAAATATGGTAAATTACCGTTATTTCAATAGCTGCTGTATATCGATACTTTCGCAGCGCTGCCTATCGATGAGCCCAGCAAAGTCCGCGCCAAAGCAGTTCGAGTTGACAGTTGATTTTTGAATAAAGTGAAACAAACTTGAAAATTCAAATTTTAGTAACATTAAATAAAATTTAATTTATTTTGCAATAAATTCCTGCACAGCGCAGCCAAATGCCAAATGACCCTTGTCAATTTTGTCTTGAATGCAAATGAATATTTAAGCACGAACCATTTGTGAAGCAATATAATTGCATATTGCTTGCTAACTTGGCTAAGCAATGCGGCAATGCAGCTCTACCTATAAATAAGTAATGCTCAGACAACGGCGTGCTTTGTGGGGGATCCTTGTTGAGGCCGTGTTGTGATGGATGGAACAGTCGCAGCAGCAGCAGCAGGTATTGGCCACAGGTCGCGTTGCATGTTGCAAGCACAGTGTTGGGTTTGATGGATGCTTTGCGCATGCCAGACCCAATGGCCGTCTGTGTGCATGCAAAGCCAGCGCCGACTTAGGCTTGACTCAGCCGCCTTGTTGGGATTTAGACGGCGAGCGTGCAACAGCGACGAGCGCAAGTTTTGGCCAGCGCATCACAGGCAATTACCGTTTGAGGAATCGAACTTTGATGGATTGCTTGTTGCTTGGCTCGTAAAAAACATTGAGCTGTTCAATACGCGCGATACGTGTGCTGCATGTAGTTGATAATTGCCAGTGCCATGATTATGCTGCGGATTTTAGCTAGGTAAGTAATTGACCTAATGTCATATTCAGTGCATTGCCTGTTCAGCTGCTCAGCCGTTCAATCACTCAATCACACACCCCGCCCATGGGCACTTAGAGCCGCCTAGAGCACCAAGCCAGCATCCCCAGCCAGCTGCATAGCTGTCAGACGCGGTCAAGTGGTCCGAGCCGAGCCGAGGGACCGCACGGAATCAGCTCAAATACATGCACACAGTGTGCTTAAGTTGATTGCCTGCCAAGCGAGACATATCTCTTTATCTCTGTGGCGAGCTGCAGCTTAAATTCAAATTCAATTAACACATTGCTTTCAGTCAAACTCCAGGGCATACGAATGCCAAAAGCCAAACTCAATTTCGAACAAAGCCATTGTGCTCGATGCTGAATTTTAAGCCGTCTCGCTGTGGCTGTTTAAGGACTTGTTCCTGTGTGTGTGTGTGGGTGTGCACACAAGTGTGTGCATAGTACATGTAACTATTATTTTGCGAATCAAGCAATTTTTTGTCGCCAAGTGGGTGGTGGAGATTGACAAGCGCAAAAATGCTAAGTGAGTGCGCTGCACTAACCCAGCCGGCTACACACGCTACATTATAAAGTTGGCATACTACGACAACTATACACATATACCTATGTGTGTGTGTGTGTGAGAGAGAGTGCATTTTGAAAGGAAGTAATTAAGAGCCTACATATGCGAGCACATTTCTAAGTCCATTGCATAAGACTAGCCCGGGGGCATGACATCGACATCGACATCGACACAAATTTGCAGACACTCACGCCTAAACGCCAAGATTACCCCAGCACATCATTGGAAGCGGTCGCAAGGTCGTGAACTGAATAACACGGTCTGGTTTTGTTGTTGTTTCTGCTTTTTTTCGCATTTTTTTTTTATTATTAAGCGGTTCAAAAGCTTAAAAAGCACCCGCGGCCAGTAAACAGAACACATGGCACAGTGGTGCCAGAAATGTTGCGACATTTCTTATTAGCCCGCCCAGTTCAGAACTTCACAAGTCCACAAACAGCTCATCTAACTGAAGCTATTTACAAATTTATAAATATTAACTCACAACGTAATCAATATGCCTCCATTCTAATCAGCAATTCGCATAGAAGTTGTTATCAGAGTGTTTATATAAAGGCTAAAGCTGGCAATATTTTATGATAATACTATATAAGGATGCAGTTTGTTTGTTTAGCCAGATCAGATCTTATATGAAGATCACCTTGAGTTTCGTTTCATCAGCTTTTAGTTGCCATCAAATCTCTTCATGAAAAGTTTACTTCTAGCACCACGGAGCGTATGAGCAATTTACATATTTGTACGATTTTCAAGGAGAAAACCAAAGATGGTATAATTTTTAAAAAATTCTGAAAGTTTCTCAAATATTTTTGAACTAGAAAATCCATTGAGTTGATGTAAGCCATGTGCATGTAAGAGGCAAACAAATGGAAAACATATTTGCTTAGTCATGGGCATACTGTACAAATTATCCTGGCATTCTTTTGTTATCCTGTAAACGGTATTTTGTGCTTGTTGTTGTTGTACTTTTCGTGTTGCCAGTGACGCCAACGCCGACGTTGTTGCCATTGTTCAAAAATGTCACACTTTCTATACCTCTTAACAACGGCAAAGGCGGGTTGCCTGAGCTACAAGTTGAAAGCAAAAAAATAAAAATTCTTCAGCATTTTCAGTAAATTTGGCTTCATAATAAAATCAAAGAAAATTTCCTCAAGCCAAGACAAGTATATTTTTATAGTAATGCTAAGCTCTGGCGTCTTAAGAGGTATCTTGTTGGACGCGTTACATGTTCTTGACTCACTTTGGCTTAACAATTTACGGCTCAAGTGTTTAATTACTAAAACTACTTCAAGTGTTGAACAATGCTGAAAGCAAAACCCATGAAAATTATGAAACGTGAATTGCTACCATCGAGCTGTTAGGCTGTTTCGGGACACTTCATTTCGCTGACGAGTGCTCAGCTGCACTCCATAGGCAATATGTGGACAATTTGCAGCTGGCTAAATAGAACTAGAGTCCCAGATGCACTTAACACACTCCGCACAATGAGGACTTAAGCTGAAAGTTCGTCTTCTTCTTTGGTCTATGTGAACTCTTCCACAGCTTCTTGATTTACTTAAGCCTGCTGGAGCGGCATGGGGGTGACAGCATTACCACAGTTGAGCAGGTGGGGCCATTGTCTGTCAGGGCGCAGCCAAGCAAGATGCCTTTGATAACCAGCGAGTTCAAGGCCAGTCGCATATACGAATCCTTTCGCGCTCTCTCAACCGTCCAGGGCAAAAGTCGCCTCAGTCGGCGCTATGTCAATGATACGAGTGCCTATGGAGCAGGTGGCCCGCTGCGTAAGGCCCGACCGCGTACAGCATCGGCGGATATGCTGAGCCGGAACATATCGAGCATTTTGGAGAACCTATTGAAGCGCTACGAGCAGTCGCAGCTGCCCACCCATGGCCAGGGCCTGCCGACGGTGGTGCGCACTAACATCTTGATACGCAGCATGGGACCCGTGTCGGAGCTGGACATGGACTACTCAATGGATTGCTATTTCCGCCAGTATTGGCGCGACAAGCGGCTGAGCTTTCAGGGCCCCATCAAGAGTCTGTCGTTGAGCATTAAGATGCTGGACAAGATCTGGCGGCCCGACACCTACTTCTACAATGGCAAGCACTCGCACATACACACGATTACCGTGCCCAATAAGCTGCTGAGACTGGACCAGGACGGTGGCATCCTCTACTCGATGCGGTAGTACCAATGCTCGCCACTCAAAGTCGACAGCTTCTTTAATCAGCTCCGTTTGCAGGCTCACCATCAAGGCCACTTGTCCAATGGAACTGAAGAACTTTCCGATGGACCGCCAATCGTGCCCACTTATCATTGGCAGCTGTGGGTATTCGTCAATGCCTTGTTTTTCCTCCCATTGCCAATAATCCGCCTTTGCAGATGGCTACACCAATCAGCAGCTGGTTTACGAGTGGCAAAACCATGATGACGCTGTCTCCTTTGTGCCAGGCATGACGCTCAACCAGTTCGATTTGATTAGCATGATGCACCGCAACTTCACCTCCACGCGCCGCGAGGGCGACTTCAGCGTGCTGCATGTGGCCTTCAATCTGAAGCGCCACACCGGCTACTTCTTGATACAGGTGAGTTGCAGATCTCTTGATTTCGGTTGCTTAGGCCGTCCGTTCCTTAGGTCTATGTGCCCTGCATATTGATTGTGGTGCTGTCTTGGGTCTCCTTCTGGATACATCGCGAAGCGACCAGCGATCGGGTTGGGCTCTGCGTGACGGCTGTGCTTACATTGTCGACTATCAGCTTGGACTCACGCACCGATCTGCCCAAGGTTAAGTACGCCACGGCCCTGGACTGGTTTCTGCTGATGAGTTTCCTCTACTGCATTGCCACGCTGCTGGAGTTCGCTGGCGTTCATTACTTTACAAAGCTGGGCAGCGGCGAAATACCCCGGCTGGACGATGAGTGGGAGGATATTGGTGCGCTTGGCTACGCCACGGGCGAAATAGCCGATGCGGCCGAGGCCAGCGACGATAGCGAGCCAGCCAACTCGGATAGCGATGTCTTTGTCTTTGCCGACCACGATGCCCTGCATTGCGAGCTGCCTTTGCCAGCGGAGCTCAATGGTGGCGCTGCTGGTGGTGGCTATCCCAAACGCAACACCTTCAGCTGCCCCATTTACAATGTGAGTTGCCCCCACTGTTTGCCAGCCCGAAGCACGCACTCGACTGTGTTCTGTCTTTTCTATACGTTTCCAACAGAACCAGCAGCAGGAGCCAGCTCATATATTTCCAAGGCTCTCCTCGCACGCCTCGACCATGGAGCGCACCACTCAAACCGAGCCGCCCGCCGTCTCCCGCATGCGTCAGATGTGGCTCTGTCTCAAGGGCGATGACAAGTTTCGCAGGCAGCGCGAACGCGATGCGGCCGCCGAGAAGAGCGAACAGGGACGCCAGGGTGCCGGCTACGTGAACAGCATTTCATTGATTGATCGAGTGGCGCGCGTTGCCTTTCCCATGACATTTGCGCTGTTCAATTTGCTCTACTGGCTGGCCTACGGCATGTACAAGAAGGAGTTTTCCTGGTCGATGATTAAGGCCTAAGGCGCTTGGTAGCCTTTCTAGATGTTAGCTACGGCTTGGCACATACACCTTGAAATTTATAGCTAAGTCCATTTTGCTTTCCCCAATCAAATAAAGTTGTACTCTTAAACATGATTTACGCATCTATAAATATATGAATTGCTTACAATTCCCAAAGTGTTTAAGCCTTGAAACCAGTTAAAGGGCGCTTCGATTTGGCAGAGCTTGCGAGCCGCTCGGCAGCCAACGCCATCGTCATCAGTCCTTGTTTCTGAAAAGCCCACCAAAGTTTTCAGCCCGCATAAAGAAAAAATGCGATTTGTGTAAAATATGTAAACCATTTAAATAACATTTCTAAGAAATATACAGTAAATGATCTCGATGATATTGTGAATATTGTGAACAACAATGAAAAGCACTTGATTGAACAAGAGTGAAATTATTCGCGACACATCGAGCTGCTGCCGTGGACCGTTGATCCGTTGAATTATGCTGAGCAGCTCGTGCTGTTAGATGTGGCCAAATGCATACCAATTCCTTGTACAATTTGGCTAAACTCGTACTTAATTAATCTGTACCTAAATTTTCAAATTACCGGGAACACATTTACTGTGATTTACCTATTGTGAATAGCAATACTAAACTATATATACTCATATGTGTGCGTCTGTGTGTCTGTGTGCGTGTGTGTGCGTGTTTGTTGACTGTGTGTGTGTGTGTGTATATCGCATATGTATATGTTGCGGGTTTATCATTCCATTTATATAAATTGGTCAATGTCAATATATATATATATACCATATAGTTCATCAGTGGGAGGGCAGCAGGTGGTGGCCAGGGGGCAATGATACTTGGGTAAGTACACGTTACTAACACTTCTAGCCGCAACTACTTATTCTAATATGTAGAAGATCCAGTAGCCAAGGTTGAAAGCACAAAAGCTAATCGGGAATATCAAGCGGGAGTACTTGTCGATAATGTTAACATCTTTGATTTTTGGTATTGTCGCCCTAATGGCCGAGGCGCTCTTCTTAATGGCGTGCATCATGCGTGGACGCGCTGAGATGCCTGCTGTCAAGAGTGGGACAGGCAGAGAGAGCGAGTAAGAGAGAGAGAGAGAGAGAGAGAGAGAGTGAGAGTTAGCAATTGATGCGAATAGCTCATCTCAGTCAGTTACCTCTTTGGCCGCGATGCCGCAGCTGGCTGCGACCTGTTCCATAGTTGCGTGTTATGCGAAAACTTGGCGGAAACTTGGCCAAGTCCATGGTCTCGGTGCCAATGGAGCCGAGGGTTACATTGTAGTTACCTTTGCGCAACGAAGGTATAGGACTCATGCGCACGTCCTGCAGCTCAATAATGTCTTCTGTGGTTGAACACGTTTCGGATTTCTCCAGTTTACCTGCCAGCCGAACAGAGACAGCGAAATGTTGTTAAGAATGTCCGAGATTCGGGAGATGTCTGCAGCTGGAATATTGGCAAAATCCTACCTATTTTATGTCGATCACAATCCTTCAGCTTTTTAATCTTCTTCTTGGCCCGCTTGCCCCAGTACGTGTAATTGACTGCAGCATATTCGAGTAGCGCCGCAAAGACGAACACAAAACACATCACCAAATAGATATCGATGGCTTTCACGTAGGAGATGCGAGGCAATGAGCTCCGCACACCGGTGCTGATCGTTGTCATGGTCAGCACCGTTGTGATACCGAGCGCAACGCGTGCGCTCGTCGCCTCGTGGTTAATCCAAAATGATACCCAGGATAGCATCACAATCAGTATGCTGGGCAAATATGTCTGGAACACAAAGTATCCAATGTTGCGCTGCAACTTGAAGGAGAGCGACAGCCGCTGATAGACCCCAGTGGCCAGGCGCTCCTTTCTATCATTGGTCTCATACCCAATGATCGTAAACTGTGGCAGTTCGGCATCCTCGACGCCGCGTACCGGCGTCGGCTTCCAGTACATGACCACATCGCTGACCGTGTAACCGTCTGCGAAAGAGATTCAGATTGAGATTCAGATTTGGCATGGAACAGCTATGAGCTGAGTAGGCAGTGAGAGGTAAACGAAAGGAATTTGATTAGCTGAAGATCTTGACTTACAGCTCTCGATTTCCACGGTGCAGTTCTGTGAGTCCAGTGGGTAGTAGTGCAAATCCATCATGCAGGCGAGTGTTGTGGTGAAGCGCATGCCGTAGGTAACAGCGCCATCGCCACCAAGACGCACCAGCTTATTGCGCTCGGTGACGTCATGCAGAAAGCTGTGCCCAGCATGAATGGAATACATATAAATAAATATATATGTATATATATGACTGACCTGTTCTTGTCGTTGGCAAAGAATGTGTCTGGCACCCAGATCTTCTCGGCAAAGTCGCCAGATAGCGTCAGGACATCATTGACCCCATCGTCGTCGGCATCGGAATCATAGTACGGTCCGTAGATGTTGAAAGCCAGGCGCTCGTCGCGCCAATACTGATTCAAGTACATTGTTATGGTGTAGTCCTGTAAATGGATAGACTTTGAGTTTTCAATATAGATGAAGCAAGTTGTCTGCGCGCCTTACCATATTCACTTCGGAGATCGCATCGAAACTGGCTATAGTCAAATCCATGCCCACGTGCAATGGCTCGCCGCCAAAATTGGGACGCAGCCGTATATCATAGCCTTGCAAGATTTTTGAGATCGTCTGCGTAACGTTCTCTAAGCGGCCAGCGAGCATTTCCTTTCGCTTGCAGCTGTCGAGAGGCGTGTGTAGTGTCATATGAGGAGAGATTGGAAGAGGGAGATGGCGGGACGACTTACCGTACGACAGTTAGCTGGGCGCTTAGCATTAACAGCAGCAGGAGGCTGTAGCAGACGCCCAGATGGCCAAAACTCGTCATATTGGCGGCAGTTAACCGTTGCTGTTGCTCTCCTCTCTGCGATTCTCAACTCGTTGGCATCGTCTCCGCTGACGTTTTCACTTTCATTCCGAATGGCATCGCCCAACTTAATCTGTTTCAATTGCTTTTTCTTTCGCTTGCCGTTCTTAGCGCTGCATAGTTAGCCTCGATTTTGATAACGTTGCACAAGTGTATATATATCTATATGGGCGAACAGTTAGATTTGATAAGCACATCACGTGACTCGAAAGCTAAGTCGTTACACATACTTCAACTCATATATATAGATATATAAAAAAGGCTTTTGAAGGTTTCTCTTTCTAATTGTTTTCTCTCGTCATTCAATGACATAGAATATTCAGCAGTCTGATAAGTGTTTGTTTATATGCATGTCCTTCGAGCTCAGTGCTTGTGCCCCAGCATCGAATGCTCAGCTATCAATAATTTATGCTTATTCAAAATAAAGGCTAAGTCCACATGCATATATGCATTTCGCACAACAGAAGATTCTGAAAATATGCTCAAGCTGCTAATGGTTAACTAATGACAGACATTTTTCTGCCACATAAATATGCTCGAAAATCTAGATGTAAGTGTGCACGAGTACATAAATATGTTTTCCCTAATAGCGCATTGTGAGAGCGTCTCGTGGCATTGCTTCTTCTGCCCCCTGCTATATAGTATTTTCTGTTCGTTAATGTGGCCCTCATCATTGTTGCTCTGCCATGGACGTATGTGCGATTGTTTGCCTATACTTTTCATCTGTTTGCCTTTTCAGCGTTTGACCCATTTTAGCTCTTGTTTCTGTTGTTGTTTTTGTTTTATTTTTTCTGCTCGCCATTGCAGTTACTGCCAAGGAAGAAAATAAAATTGGCAACTGTGCCGCATTCAAATGCTCTATTTTTAAAGGACACATTTATAGGCACAAAGTATAATGGAATAAATATATCACTCTCTCTCTCTCTCTGTCTGTGTGTGTGTGTGTGTGTGTGACATTGCAAGCATTTTGGTATTGGTCTAAAAGATTTCTAGCAAGTTATCTTGACACACACACAGACACAGGCAAGTGCTTAAAATATTAATTTGCTGTAAGCCACAAAACAAACAAGAAAAACAACAACAGGAAGAAGAAATAATAACGAAACACCAAACGAATTTAACACGTCGAATGAGGCTTACGAATAACACGGACGCCCTCAAAAAAATTACGATTTCTCATTCACTTTTTCCCGCTCGTCCTATATCTAACATATATGTATATGTATCTGTATCGCATCGCTGGGCGCGCGCGTCGTGGGCAGCAACAAAATTGGTTGTGTGGAGCGGCGGCTACCGTTGCTAGCTAACGAATGATTACTGTCAGTTACCGTTCGTCTTCGGCTGGTGGTGCTGCTGCTGCTACTGCTACTGATGCTGCTGCTGCTGCTGCTGCTGCTGCTGCTGCTGCTGCTACTGCTGTGACTTGCCGACTTGCTCTTGCTCTAATTGATGATGAAGATGATTATGGTGGGCCCACTCGGCATAGGCCCTGGGCCTGCGCATATTACATTCCGGGGCGACATGCCACTGGCAGCACACGTAACAAACGCTTTCATTCAGAATCACGAGATGCCAATGCTCATTTAGGGTTGTCACCGTTTCGCTGCTGTTGCCTGGCGCCATCTGGTGTGCTGAGCCTCTACTCACACTCACACACACAGATACACTCACTTACACGTGCACACATATGAGTAGCATGCATGGAAAAGTGCCAGCATTAATGTTAAGTATTTCAGGTACTTTAGATGTACTCTAGTTTGCATCTCATTTGTATTGTTCAGGCCGTCGCTTAGCTCTGTATGCATGATCATCTATTGCCATAAAGGACATGCAGAGAGGCCAGAGATATGCAAATGTCATGCCTGATTCTATATATAGCATAGTTCACATACTTCGAGGATGTGCGGTCAGCGGGCAGCGGCCAAATTTAGCCTCAATGGCTGACCAGGCAAATTGATTTTGGCCAGCTGTTTGGCATGGCCGAGTGAGAGTCAAGTGTGCGCTCCCTGCATGTAACTCAATGATAAAAGCTTCAAACGTGATGTGCCACAACATTTTTGCCAGCGAAAGCTAAGCAAAGCCAGCGAACTTTTGCCAAAAACAAAAACAAAACCAAAACCAAAACCAAAAACAAAACTAACAAAAGCTTGCTCAGAGCGAATGCGAGACAAGGACTACAGCATCAGCAGCGCTTGCCGTTACAGTTACAGTTACATTTACATTTACATTTACATTTACATTGTTTTACGCAATCGATGCTGTGTGCGTGCGCAAGTGAGCGCAAGCTGCGGCTGTGGCTGCGGCTGTGGCTGTGTATGGGTGAGTTACGCTCGGCCCATTCAGTAAGCCCATTGAGAAACCATTGTATTCGCCTTGTTTATGCTCAGCCAACGCTGGCTGCAAGCTTTTGCCTCCACGCACACAGACACAGGAGATACACACATACGCAGAGAGATACTCACACAGACACATACGCACGCATCAGTGTGTGGCACAATTGGCTCAGCTGCGAATTGGGAGCAGAATGCCGACTGATGCTGCTGCTGCCGCTGTGAATCTCTGGCTATTTCACATTTTTCGTAGTACGGAGCACGGAAGCAGACGTTCCAAGCCTTGAGCTAACGCACGTACATCACGACGCTTCGACAACAACAACAGCAACTGTCATAGCTACAACGACAACAACAAGTTACATGGAACTTCAGCAGGGACTTGGCCAATAGTACAAAAAATTAATAAAAAGGAAAAACGAATAACGAAAAACGAAAAACGAAAACCGAAAAATAAACGCAGAAAATTTTATTTAATTTTAACTTCAATTTTTTTTAAGTGTTGTGCGAAGCGAATCGATGAGGCAAGCAAAAGAATCAACAGAATTCCGACCACATATGTACACACACTCACACACGCTCGCACACACATCATTTGGCTCAAGCGAACAACTCGATAGTGCTGTGCTGTGATTGGGCAATTAATCAAAAAAAAAGTAATAAAAAAACCAAAATCTGAAGTATAAAAAACAAATCTAAATTTTGCATAAAATTTTGTTGACTAAACGGCTTAAGCCATTAAATACATAATATGTATGTATCTACATACATTGTGCAGTTCGTAGGTGTGTGTGAGTGCGCATGCTCCACATAATATTTTATTTAGTGCAGCGAAGGCGAACTCTCAATAGCCAAAGGAAAACCGCAAATATTAACAATAAAATAGAGTGAAAAAAAAATAGGGAAAATCAAGTTTAGTTTCGAAAATTGAGCGTGAAATTGGAAAAAAACGCTCTAAAAATAAAGTAGGAGGCGCTTGGGCAAATGCCGCCTCCGCATTCGCTGACGACTTGCAGAGTGGGTGTTTCCCACGCCGGACACACACACACACACACACACACGCACACCCACATATACGCCGTTATAAAGTAGCTAGTGGCCACAGCATCAGCTATAAATATACATAACTAATTAGTGTTTGACACTTGAAACTTAATAAGAAAAACTAATTTTTAAAAATAAAAAAAAATAAAAATAAATTAATTGAGCAAGCTTTAAATATTGGACAACATTTCGTTTGCGGCTCAAAGCAGTTGCAACAGGCTTTTTTTCGAATTAAAAGCAAAGCAGGAAAAATTCAAAGTCTTTGATTGAAATATTATAAAAGAAAAGAAATATAATTTCGCTGTAATTTCTACTCAGAAATATAACAGTTAATATTATAAGTAATTAAGTCAGAGAGATAATGAAATAGAATATTCCGTTTATCGATTGACAGCAGAAACAAGCTCCGCTGGATGCGATCCCTCAACTACATAAATAACTAAAATAAAAAGGAACAAACAAAGAAACAACAAATATTAAAAGCGCTTATGAAATAAAATGAAGACTGATGTATGAAATGTGTAACAAGTGATATGTTAGCTTGAGCCGAATCGTGGATTAGTGCGGGCAAATGTTTTATGCAAATTCCGTTTGTCTTAAAACGCCCAACATCAACAACAACAACAACAACAGCAATAGCAATAGCAACAACAACAACAACAACCTCAACCTCAACAACCTCGCCAGCAGCAGCTGCAAGAAGAAGCAACGAATTGGCGTGCCAGCGTATACCGATGTACATATGTATGTATGCCACTGTACATATGTATGTACATACGGTCTTGTGAATGTGACACCTACGCAACGCGAAGCGCATTAAAGTGCGAACACAGCAGCCGCCAACACAGCAGCCCAACTCCAATCAGTAGCACGTCACACGCACGCGCCAAAAACCACTAAAACAAAAAGAGACAACAACAGCAGCCGCAGCAGGAGCAGCAGCAGCAGCCACAGCAGCCACAGAAGCAGCACCAGCAGCCGCAGCAGCAGCAGCAGCAGCGCCGTGCGTGCGCTCCATTGTGTGCGTGTGCGTGTGCGTGTGCCTGTGTCTGTGCCTGTGCCTGTGTGTGCGTGCGGTGGCAATGTATTTGCTAGCCTTGCCGTTTTGCCCTTTGGTGTGCCTGCTATGCTTGTGTAAGTATATTATCTCTGTCACGTACATCCTCAACACACACACACATACATTTATATATATAAATATACACCCACACAGTCAGCATGCTTTTGCGTACTTATCAATGAAAATTGGTATTAGCATTAGCATTAGAGCATTCTCTAGAGATTAAGTGCAAATTTTAAACGATTAGCCAACTAGGGGCCGACAGGCATTAATAAACTGTCTATTTATAAATGCCATCTAGCCATATATATATATATTCATATATATATATATATATTTATATATAATTTCTAACCATTGTATTGCTTGCATAATTTTGCTCTTCAATAAATTTGAATTTCATATTCAAATTGTTTACTTTACCTTTGTTGCTTTTCCATTAACTTTCCATTCTCTTTGGAGTACCGCATTTTGTGTATCCACATAATTAGTATACGCTTATGTATGTTTGTCTGAATGCTTGCTACACCTATGTGTGTATACCACCTGTTAGTTTATTAGCCCACGCACATTGTCAGCCATTAGCACATACCTAAATACATATGTATGCGATTATGTGAATGCTTGCAGTCAGAATAGTTGTGTTAATTAATGCAAAAATAACTGTTCATTCATGTTAAACTAAACAAATGATTGTATTTTGCTGAAGTTATCCAAAATTGAGTTTTGTTATGGATTAAAGTCATACAAAAATTTAGTTTTTTGTGATCTTTTGATAGGTTTGCTCTGGTCTGGTCTTGTCTAGTCTGGTCTGGTCTCCTTTGGTCTTATCTGATCTGGTCTGGCCTGGCCTGGCCTAACCTGTTTGCTCTGGTCTGGTCTGATCGGACCTGGTCTGGCTTGGCCTGGCCTGACCTGGTCTGATCTGGTCTGCTTTGCTCTGATTTGACGTGGTCTGGCCTGGCTTGGCCTAACCTGGTTGGTCTGGTCTGGTCTGGTCTGGTCTGATCTGGTCTGATCGGACCTGGTCTGGCTTGGCCTGGCCTGACCTGGTCTGATCTGGTCTGCTTTGCTCTGATCTGACGTGGTCTGGCCTGGCTTGGCCTAACCTGGTTGGTCTGGTCTGGTCTGGTCTGGTCTGGTCTGATCTGGTCTGATCTGACCTGGTCTGGCTTGGCCTGGCCTGACCTGGTGTGGTCTGGTCTGTTCTGGTCTGAGCTGGTTTATAAATTTATCTATTATTGTAAGCTATTCTCAGAGTCATATCTCAGATATATAGAGGCATATCGGAATTATTGTAGCTTTTAAAATCTATAAAAAGTTTGCAATTCAAGTCTATTTTGGATATCTATCAGAATGAAAGGGAAATTATATTAAAACTTCAATTTGAAGCTTCAAACTTTAAGCTTGATATAATATGTATTTTATGCGTATATATTTATATATATTACATATATATTATATATAAGGAAAAGTATTCTGAGCGAGAGATCCGGAGGAAAATTCATTGATAAGAGACAAACAAAAATATATAGCATACTTTTGAGCATAGTCGATTAACATCATGCAACAAGCCAGCAAACGTACATCGTTCATTCCGCTGCAAGCATGATAATAATAAAATATGTCCATTTACAGGTTTGGGAATCGGCGACTTAACGCATGGACTTGGTGAACAGTATGATCGTGGCATAAACAACCGCGGAGGCGGCACCGAAAATACTCAAGAACGTCCACAGCACTGGTATCAGCCAGCTCATCCACGCTCGGCCAATGCCAACGGACATGGTGTGCACGAGGATGAGTTAACCGACGATCTGCTGCACAAGGAGGATGATCACGACTATCTAACCGCATCCG